CTGTCCCAAAAATAAATAAAAAAACGTTGAAAAAAAAATAAAAAAAAAAATGGGGCCGTTTTTCCCTATTAAGTGTTAAGAGTTCTTTATTTATTCTGGATTTAAGTACAGGGTTTGCAAATATTTATTCCAACCTGTGACATACGTTTTTATTTTTGCAGTGGTGAATTCTGAACAGGAAATGCTTTCTTTTATAAAAAAGTCAAATTTCCCATTTTCTTCCTTAATAGTGGTTTTGGTGCCCATATTAAAGAAAACTTTGTCTACCCCAAGACCACAAAGGTTTTATTCCGTTTTCTTCCTACAGTGTTATAGGTTAGCCCCTAAATTCAGAACTGTGACTGATTCTGAGTTATTCTTGTGTGTATGGTGTGAAGCAGCTATTACGCTCTTCCCCGCCTCTCTTTTTGCAGACGGTCATCCAATTGTTCTGGTACAGCTTATTGAATGTGCTCTCATCTCTCCCCGTTTGATTATCCCGGCACCTCTGTTTAACACCCACTGGTCGGGTTTTATTTCTGGACTTTCTATCCTGTTCCCTTGACCTGCACGTCTCCCCTCACTGGGCACACCACCCTCACGGCCCACACGGTCCCGACGACCGTAGCTCGATAGTTCATTTTTAAGTCAGGTTGAGTAAGTCCTCCAATTTGCTGCTTCTTTCTCTAAATTCTTTCGGTCACTCTACGTCCTTTGGATTTCTGTATCTATTTTAGAGTTGGCTTGCTATTTCCTTAAAGAAAGAAGCTTGCTGGAAACTCAATAGGGATCATGGTGACTATGTAGATCAATTTTGGGGGGAGTTTTCTATCATGACAATATTTTGCGTTCCAGTCCACGAATATTGTAAATCTTTCCGTGTATTTGGATTGTGCTCAGTTTCTCTCATCAATAGTTTGTAGCTTTAAGTACATACATTTGGTGCTTGTTTTATTTTATTTTATCATTTTCAATGCTATTGCAGGTGGAATGGTTTTCTTAATATCATTTTGAGATTTTTCGTTGTTAGTATACAGAAATATAATTGGGGTTATTATATTGATTTTGTATCCTACCACCTTGCTGAGCTATCTTATTATTTCTACCATATATCTTGCAGATTTGTTAGAAGCATGTTTCCTGCAAATAAATACAGTTTCATTTTCAAATCTATATGTCTGTGTATTTCTTGCTGTATTACACTGGCTGGAACTTTAGTCAAATGTCAAATAGAAGTTTGAGGTGGACATTCTTGCCTCAGTCTCAATCTGTGAAGAGCAGACATAAACACACACACACACACACACACACACACACACAAACACACACACACCCCTTACTCCATGTCTGTGACCTATAGTTATTCCCTAACACTTTTTTAAGAATGGACAATTTCAAACACCCAGAAAAGTGGAAAGGATTGTACAAGAATGCCCACACACTCAACTTCCAGGTCCTATCATCATTAAAATTTTGCTGTAAATATTTCTTTTTAAACACGTGACTATCCATCCGTCATTTTATTTTCTGGTCCTTTTCAAAGCCAGCAGGACGCAGACATCAGTACCCCTCGTTAAAGCACACGGACGCCACTTCAGTCTTAGCACACCCCGATTGCACTGCATTTATCTCTTTCTCTCCTTACACACACACACACACACACACACACACACACACACACACACACACACTATAAGCCCTAAAGTTAAGAATATTTTCTGTCAGTTTTTCTTCTCTTCTCCCTCCACCTTTGTTCCCATATGAGTAGCATGCCCGGGTACCGAGTAAATGCTTCAAATCAGTCAAACAAGCAATCCCAAGTGTTTTCTGTCCTCATTCCGGGGGCAGCCTGAGACCCTTCACGTGCCCGGCGGCTCTCACCTGCAGTGGGGAGCTCTCCCGGCACGTGGCGATGGTGGGACACAGACCCGGACACCTCGGCTGCGGCGGGGTCTCCTTGCGCTGCTCTCTACAGGGATGGGGCAAAGGGAGGACAGACTCCCATCAGCAAAGAAGGGCCTTGCCTTGTGCAGTGAGCTCAGAGAGCGCCGCCGACAGCTGCAAAGCTCCATGCACTGGCCGCCATCGTGACGTGCTCATCTGCAGAGCCTCAGAGCCAGCAGCTCCTGGGAGGCCGTCCGTGTGCCCTCGGGTTGGCTGCACGACGGAGGACACGGCACAGGAGACCCGTAAAGGTCTATGACTGCTTGCCGGCGGGAGGCCACAGGGGTGCTTCTTCCTGCTGCGGCGCCCCCACGCTGGGCCACTGCGTTCCCGAGTCTTGGGTGCAGCAGAGCTCAGTTACAAATGGACAAAGTGACCTGCCTTGGAGACCACGGCATTGTCACTTTGTGCTCATTCCTTGCAGCCACTGTAGGAAACGGAGGATTGTCCTTGATTACCCAAGTAGGTCCAATGCAATCACACGAATCCTTAAAAACTGAGAAATGAGGAAAAGGGGGAGGTCCGAGAGATCTAAACTATGAGGAGACTAGACCCACCATTACCGACTTAGAGACAGAAGGGCCACGTGGCAAGAGCGGGAAAGCAACAGCGGCATCGCCATTCTCAATCTGCCCGGAAGCAGACTGGTCCCCATAACCTGCAGAAGGGAGGGCTGACCTGGAGCCGTGACTGCTGCCTTGGGAGGCACCAGCCAGGGACCCAGCTGAGCTTGCCAGGCACGTGACCCACAAGCGCTTCCAGACGAGTCTTAGTTCAAGCCACTACATTTGTGGGAATTTGCCACGTAGCAATAGAAAATAAATACAAGCCACTTGATGGACATTAGCTGAGCAGAACACCTGTAGAATTAGGCAAGAAGTAACTTCACACGTGTGATCCTGCTTTCGCAGCAGATTAACGGTCCAGAGGAAATACTCCCAATAAATTGGCCTGATAACTACTATTAGAGAGAAGCACCTTAGAGAGTCCGACACTAAGTTCTCCCCTAAAATATACCAGTGATTTACATCATGGAACTCCACAGGCACTTACTGAGTGGATTTTTCTTTTGGGGGGTGGGCGGAGTGCCACATGATTTAAACATATTCTCTGATCTCTAGGAGCTGACATTCTGACAGTGGGCTTTGCCTAACATGTAAGGCTGTGAGTGTCCAGGTCAAACTAGGGACACTTCTGCAGGAAAGAGAGGCCACTGTGACAGACGGCCCAGCGCATTGAGAGGGCTTGTCTCTCAACACAATCGACCTTTCAATACAAAGGTTAGCAGCTCACTTTCCAGTTGGAGAAGGGAACACTATAGTGATTGAAAATAAGAAATAACATTCCAGAAATGAGGAATATGGTCCCTCCCAAAGATGAATAACTTATATTCATAAAAATTACGGTTCTTTTTCTTTTAACTATGTCCACAACGTATGGAATTTTTTAAAGTTTATTTATTTATTTTGACAGAGAGAGACCTTGGGGAGAAGGGGCAGAGAGAGAGGCAGAGAGAATCCCAAGCAGGCTCACTGCTGCCAGCACAGAGCCCAACGTGGGGCTCAAACCTACAAACCGTGAGATCATGACCTCAGTAGAAACCAAGTGTCCCATGCTTAAGCTAAGCCTGAGCCACCCAGTGGCACCACAATATATGGAATTTTTAAAAGGGGCTCAAGAGTTGAACAATGTGATTACAATTTTATAAAAACAAAGCATCGTGAGTATAACTCACAAAATAATACTAAAACGGAACTTGGAAGACAGTCCTCGGAGCGCCAGCAGTGACTGCAGCGCGTGGGGCGGCCAGCGACTTTGGGTCCCCAGTTCCTGCGCGGCGTCCACACCGACTGCCCGAAAACGGGGTTAGTCTCGGTTGCTTCTAGAGGCCGCTGGCCCCCAGGCCGGACAGGGTGAGGGGAATGTGCTCAGATTGTACCTGGACCGCAGTGAGGCGATGCTTCAAGTGAAACTCCCAAACGACCCGGCTTTTCCCAGAAGCATGGCCACCGGGTGTCTAAGGAAACAAATGCAGAAGGAACGAGCGGATTCTTTGGAGGGATTCCCGCTCCTCCGTCGCGAGCCGGTACCGGCCCTGCGACCCGCCCCGCTCCGCCGGAACATGAGAGTCGCCCCCGACCCGTTTCTGCGAGGACCGAGCTTCCGAGAGCACCACCGAACTGAGGCACTTCCGGCCCGCTACCCCGGGGTAGACCGACTTCCGGGGCAGTTTCAGGGCGTGGAGCTGAGACCATGCGGCTCCGCTCGCTCCCGCCTCTAGGGAATGTTTATTGTAACTCCACTTCGAACTCCGCCTTCCTCAGAACTGCACGAAAACTATTTTAAAATTTACACAGAAACTAAAAACGTGGAGGAATTGTCAACTATGAAAACTAAAGAATGCCGAGGGCGTTCCCCTGCCGGACGTTCAGGGTGAGGCGCGGCCGGAAGAGGGTCTCCCGGGGGAGCCCGGGGCACCAGGTCCGGGGCGAAGTGCGGCGCTGGCTCAGCGCGACATAACGACCTTAGCCCCTGTCTCCGTGAACACGCAAACAAATTCAGGACGGCTTGGAAATCAAAAAGCAAAGCGAATAAAACTGGTGAAAATACTAGCAAAGAATGTGAACATTTGTGTAACCTTGGAGTCATGAAGACTTTTTAAAGCAAGACTGTTGAGAGCATATAGTATTTGTCAGACAGATAAAACAACTCTAGTAAGCTTACACATTTACCTACGTGCAGATGGACTCAGGTCGTCATCTGCTTGCTGTGTGGGCGATAAAAATTCACAAAGTGGAAAAGCTGCCGACACTGGGCTTAGTCTTATACACAATTCAAGTCAGTTATTAGTTAATTTTGAGTAATGGTGCCTCAGTCTCCTGGGCCCTAGGAAAGGATCTCACTGGGGGATAGCACCCGTCACATGAATACCTGCGTCTTCACTTCTAATAGTTAAGAAACTGGAAGTGGGATTGCTGACTTCAACGGTGAGTATACATTTCACTTTTTAAGAAAACACCACACTGCTTATCAAAGTGATAGAATTTGGTATCTGCACTAGTAACGTAGGAGCCTTTCGATCTACAGCTTCACCAACGCTTTTTATTGTTGGTTCTTTTGATTATAGCCATTCTAATGGGTGTGTAATGGTATCTTACTGTGGTTTTGTGTTTTCTTAGTGGTAAATGATGTCGATGTGCTTATCTGCCACCATGGATCCTCCTTGGTGAACAGTTGGTTCAAATCTTTTGCCCATTTAAAAAGTTAAAACACTGGGTCATTTTTCTTATAATGGAATTTTGAATTCTTTATATATTCTGGACACAAGTATATGATTTGCATATATTTCTGCCTTTGGCTTATGTTCTCATTTTCTTAATGGCACCCGTTTGAAAAGCAAATGTTTTTAATTTTGATGAGAAGCAGCTGCATTAATATATGGGCCTAAAAGGAGTCAGCCCTGCCGGCTTGATTCTGTGGATAGTGAACGTACAAATCCTCCCACACACCAAACACACAGGTACCGTGCTGCACACACACACCATGTACACATACACATGCACTCAGTCATACACATGCACTCAGTCACATACACACACTGTATCTCACACTAAACACACACACACAAAACCACACACACACATGCACTGCATCACATACTATGCACACGCAACCACACACATGTGCATCACATTATACACATCATGCACTCACACGTGCAAACATGCAGTGCATCTCACACCAAACACGCACACGCACACACACCGCATCACACACACCCGCACTGCATCACACAACGCGCGCGCGCGCACACACAGGATCAGAGGACTGTGCCAACACAGAAGCAAAGGACTGTTTGAGAAGTCCCAGCTGCAAGGTGACACTGGGCGCTGCCCCAGGCCCGGATAGCGCAGATGGTGAAGCAGAGGGGTACCCGCTACCTGTGGCATGCTTATTTTGAAGGACAGCTCTTTCCTCCCTGCTGGAACTTTTGGAGTCTTTTGACAGCGGTTCTGTGTCACATACTCATACGTGCTCAACTTCTTGAACACTAGAGAGGAGAAAGGCAGAAACGGGCAGTTAGAATTACGCAAGCGGGCAGAGTGGCCCACAGGCCACAACCCGGTCTTCCAGGGCTTCCCCCCAGGGTGCCGGGAGTTGCCTCCTAACCCGGGCTGCTGCATGGCCACCCCGGGGCCCACCTGGCCTGTGGGAGGCAAGCGGTAGCTCGTCACAGCCCCAAGGCTGCTGGCGCCCCGTCCCAGGAACAGCTACCCTGCAGCCTTCCAGGCCCGCAAAGCCAGTGTGGACCCGGACGCCGGCTCCGGCACTGTGGCAGAAGCACCCCGGGTCACTGAAAGGACATCTGAGACCCGGGTCTGTCAACAGACAGCACCGTCCACGAAACGGGTTCTGTGCCTGCTTCAGCAGAGGCACCAATCCTCCCACTTCTCTTTCCCTAAAACCAACACGAGGACAGATGGCTTCTAATTATTTCTGGAAAGGGAGAAGGGCCGCCCACAGAAGCCTATTTGCAGCTGGAGGAGCAGACGGAGGGTGGGCTGCCCCCACACCCGCGTGGAGCCCGTTCCCTTCCCTGGGTGGTGTGTACAAGTGCGTCTGTCTGTGTTTGCTTTGGCTTCCTGCTGAACTCCACCTGGCTCTTACTGGTCCTCCCACCTCCCCCAGAACCTGCGTCAGGGCATCATTTGCGCCTGGCCACACGCTCGCGAAAACACTCGTTCTCTTGCAGGGATTGCAGGGATGGCTGCCATCGCCATCGGGTGGCAAGTACACACTGTGTGTTCCCCAGAGCTCACACTCGTCCTGAGTTTTGTGTAAACGCCTTCATCTGACAGTAGCGAGAGGAGATGTGGCTGGGGAGGGAGGCCAGAGTGCGGTGTGCACCGAATGAGCGTCTGCCATGTCCCCCCCCCCCTCCCGCGGCGACACTAGGCGCCAGCACAGCAGCTGGGGCCGCTGGTCTCTGGGATGCTCTGTCCCTCCACACTCCTGCTGCTGGCACCCCGACATCCGTGCGTCTTCCTGGGAGGTCTTGCCCTCACCAACGCTGCACTCCACTCGTGCTGCAGCCTCGTCAGGATGTCCTTCCCCCAAACTTCAACGCGGGGCATCCAGCTGCCCACGGCTTCCGACAGGCCCCCCAGCAGCCCCCACCCCCCACCTCAGGGTATTTGCGTCACACCGTCCCTTGGAGAGTGGGTGGCCCCAGTGCCTTGCACAAGAGGTGAGGGGCATCACTTCCATGACTGGGCTACAAAAGGCCGGCTGCCCCCTCATGCTGGAGTGTCCTTGTGGGAAGAGGCACCGGCCAACAACTCACGGGGAACTGAGGCCAGGAACTGGCCTGCCAACACCCTGGCGTTGATCCTAAACGTGGGTCCCGGTCGGATGAGACCACAGCCCTCCTCACACCTGGCGGAAGCCTTGTGGCCGAGCAGGGCCAGTGGACCCAGCGAAGCTATGCTGAACCCATGACCCACAGAGACTGCAAGGTGATAATTCTGTTACTTCAAGCAGGGTAAGTTTACTGTAACAATAGCTAATAATCCAACTTTTTCTGGAAGTCTGTGTTTTGCTGTCCAGATACCCTGTCAACAGCACCTTGAGCCATAAGCTCCGTGTGCGTCTCCCTCCCCTACCCCCACAGTGAGTGTGGCACCACCACCCTCCCTGTTGCTTGGGTTGGGGCCCTCTGGTCCCTCTCCCATTGGCCATCTGTCCCGTGGGCCTATTCTCCAGTCTCACATCCATCTGTCCTGAGTGGCCGCAGTGGACTTCTGGACCTGCCCAGCTTGCCACCTGCCGGCTGTCATGTAGGCTGCAGCTGGGGCACTGTCCCCAAATGCACCCTTGTCCCTATTGGCCAGTGCGTGGAAGCTTTAGGATAAGGGCCTGGGCTGACCCACCGCTGGCTCTGGGTGCTGATTCTGGCCCTGGCTCTGCTGAGGACACTCCCTGTGCCAGACCTGCTCCGGCAGCCACATAGGGCCCCCGCTGCCACCTTCTCCCTTGCAGAGGCCACAGAGAGAAGTCGTGTCCTCCCCTGGGCCACGGCATAGTGGAGCCTGCTGCACACAGTGCTGCGTGGACTCCAGGAAACGGCCAGTGTCCCTGCAGCGAGCTGGGTCAGCAGATGATACCCTGTCGCTGGCTCACTATTTTTCATTGTTAGGACTTGGTGCTTCTCTAAATCCCCTGTTCTTTTTTTAATGGTGCCTGTTCCTGCCTCACACGTTCTGCTCCCTTATCTAACTTACTCCTAGGCCCTCTCGTGTCCTCTGCGGGCCTCAGAGCAGAATGAGCCCGGCTGTCCCTCTAGGGGTGTCTCTGCCTGTGATTTGTCTGCTGTGCTCGTTTCTAGCAGGGGCCAGCAGACCTTGTCTTGGGCCATGTTGGAACGCAAGGGACAAAGACTGGAGTGGGGGTCAGGACACATACTTAAGAAGAGGTGGAAAATGAGCAGGTGTCCAAGTAGCAGGAGGCTGAGGGCGGACAGCAGCAGGACGAACACCCCAATGCCCAGGACCACCAGGGTCTTCGTCTTTACAGGGAACAAAGGAAGGAACAGCAGCCAAGTGTCCTTGGAGACGTCTGCGGAGGCAAGGGAGACGCGCATGCATCCAGCACCTGGGGCATGGCCAGCCCCTCCTTGGGAGGTGGGGGAGGGTGAGCAGCCCGAGGGAGCCTCTCCCCCACCCCAGTGTGTGCCCTACCTCGCCCAGGTGCCCTTGCAGCCCCCTGACTGAGGTGGGTGTCGCAGCCCCACTTTACGGGTCTGGAAGGTGAGGCTGGGAGAGGATAACTAAGGGTCCGGGTCACAGAGTCTGACCCCCTGCCTGGCTGAACCCCCACCCTGTCCCGAGGGCCATGCCACTGTGCCAGGCCCTCCCCGTTCTCAGTCAGCCGCCCTCACAGGGAACTGCAAGGCAGTAGCCAGCGCCTTGGGACATTTCCAGGATGTGGTCCTCTGGGCCCCGAGGGCTGCTGACACTTCCAAACTTAAGTGTGAGGAAAGCACTGAGGAATCTGCAGGCAGGCCCATGGAGATGGAATCCAGCTGAAACGCTCTCATCCCACCACAGAGTCTGGGAGGTACTGATTCCAGTCCCTTATGTGGCATGGAAAAGTGGCCGCCAGGCCCGCTGTGCACCTCGGGTGCTGCAGCGCAGTGTGCATGAGGCCGGATGTACCATGGGGTGGCCGGCCACATGCTTGTCCCCTCAGCCGTGATGTCTTGATGATTCCCACCAATGAGAGCAAAGTGCCCCAGGGAACTGGCGGGTAAGCAGCCCCATGGAATCTTCTGGAACAGCAAACCCAGGAGATTGCCTCAGTCATCAGGCAATCATGTGCAGCACATCCACAATGGTTCCGGGGCCAGCAAGCTCCCAGAGAGAAGCACCTTCGGAGACCAGGCTGCCCTCTGTCCTGCCAGCGTGTGGCAGCGAGGGCCCAGCCGACGCCCACATTGGGAGGAAGTAAGGACACGTGCCATGGAACTCGGGTGCGCTGAGGCTGCCCCTTACCACGTGCGAGCCACATTTCAGAGCGTGTTGGGGCGATGAGAGGCCCCGTGGCCGGGAGGACCTTTGCGGGGAAGCCCCAGTGCCCGCCGGTGACTGTTCTGAGGCGGCCAGCCCTTCTGCTCAGGCTGCGTGTGGAGACTGTCAGGAAGGATGGCAGGCAGAGGCCTCCAGCTGGCTGTGTGCAGAGCGCAGGTGGCTCTTCCCGCTGAGCAGGGCCGGGTCTCGCTGAGACCCCACTGTTCCCTTTTACCATGGAAATCACCAGAATGCACTCCGGAGCAGGTGCAGGTCAGATGGCCCATCCCACGAGGGCTCATCCAGCCCAGGTGCAGTGCGGGCCTGGGGGTGAAGGTGCACAGGGCATGGTGCCCCTCCAGGAAGAGGGCATGGCCGTGACGTGCTCTGGAGAGAGGCCTGGACTGAGAAAGGAAGCTTTGCTCTGCACCCTGAGGGCTGAGATCCCCAAACACTCAGGACAGACACACGAGGTGCTCCGCTTGGGGTCCTCCCTGCATCAGTGTCCAGGGCTGCTGTGACCGATGGCCACAGACCAGGCAGTTTCAACAGCAGAGATGAAGCCCCGATGTCAGGCTGTTGCAGGGCCCGTCTCCCTCCAAGGCCACGGGGGAGGATCTATCCTTGGATCTTCCAGCTTCTGGGGCTCCAGGCACCCTTGGGCTTGTGCCCATGTCCCCCCAGTCTCCTATAAGGATGTTTTCACTGGATCCAGGACCCCACACATTGCCGGGTAACCCATGATCATCTCAGGATCCTTAATCACATTTAGGAGGACCCTCTCTCCAAATAAGGTCATGGTCACAGGCCCGGAGGGTGGGCAGTGGTGGGCAGACCTTTGAGGCACATGTGTTCCCAAGGCCAGGCTCCTGGAGCCGCTCAGCAGACACCTGCAGCCACACACCACCCGGCACCTTCCCCAGGCAGCCCTGCCCTCCCGCCCCACCCTGCTCCCTGCCAAGACCAACTACTGGGTGATGGGCACCGGGCCCCAAACCTGCCTTCTGGTGCCTGGGGGGCTGCTGCCCTCCTGCCCGGCCCCGCAGCTCAACCAGCTAGGGGGCGGGCCAGACTGATACCCCCCATAGGGAGAGCTTTCCCCGAAAGACAGCTGGAGGGAGAGGCTACCACCACGAGGGACCCGAGAGAAAGCAACGCCAGAGAGGAGCCCCCGCCCCCCCCCCGCCCCGTACCTTCATAGAGGGGATGAGTGCGCAGCACCTCCGGGTTGACAAAGTACTGGATGAAGATGTACAGCAGGATGGTGATCAGGCAGAGCAGGCTGGCCGAGGCAGAGACCAAGGAGCAGAAGAAATATCTGCGGGGGGCAGAGCCAGACTCAGGGCTGGGCAAGGTGCCCCTGACCCTGAACCCAAGGCCCAGCCTTCTTCCTGTCTCCTGGCACCCGAGCTCCCCAGGGGACACCCTGAGGGCACCTCCAGTTTCTCTGTCCCCCTCCCACCCCCACGCGGCAGTGAGAAGGGCCCGGCCTGGCTCCCAGGTGGGTACACAGAGGCTCCAAGCAGGTCGGGCCGCCCGCAGCTTCCTCCACATGCCGCCACCGCTCACCAGGGCTCTACCAGGTCGGGGTCGGGACCACCACCCCTGCCCCCCATGTTGCACGGGATCCTGGGTGCTGTGCTTCCATCCAGAGGCATGGAAGCCCAGCAGGTCGGGAAGGCCAGAGGTGCTGGGACAGGCACCTGGCCGGCCAGCGGCCCACGGTGCAGCATCTCCACACACCCTCCAGGGGCCTGTGCACACTTCTGTGCACAAGTGACATCTTGTGCTTTGGCATTAGACCAGAATCACTCCTGTCCTCTTGCCTGTGCTCAGGACAGAGAATGATCTAACCATCCAAAAATTAAATTCTGGTCAGCAATTCTTGGAATAAGCTTCTGCTGCAAGGTCTTCCTTTGGGCTTTCTACCATGGTGATATTTAAGGAAACCGTTTCTTTAGCATTTTCAATCTTCATCAATGTCTTTTCTCCAGCTGAAATTTATCTGACTCCATTATTCTTTTCCAGAACATCTTGAGGTTTGTTTTTGTTTTTTGTAACACATCTTTAGGCAGAGAGCTAAAATGTGAATGTCCTCAAAGGGTCACATGGATGTGGAGGGCAGCCTGCATTGTGGCCCCTTGTCGAAGGCCCTGGAGGGCACGTGTCCTGTGTGTCCCCAAGCTGCAGGGGGCAGAAGCCTGGCCCCACACCTGGCTCTGGTCCCCGGGGAGCCTGTAATGTGCAGTGCAGCTGTTCCAGCCGGCGGGCTCACCCTCAGCAGAAGGCCCTCGGCCATCCGCTGCTGCTGGCACCCGGCCAGAGGCGGCCCTCCCGGCAGGGTGAGGGCCAAAGCCACTCCAGCTGCACGTTTGGGGCCAGAAACGTCACTGTCGTCCCTGACTCCCGCGTCTGTGGTGCCTCAGCGCCCAGTCCGGGCACTTCCCCTGTGAAGGCACGTCCTCTCAGGAGCTTATCACACTTTGCCAACTGTTTTGGCCAACTCGTCTTCTAAATGCAGTCATTTCCTGTTGCTTTTTCTGCCTGACGGTGGAAGGGACAGGAGGGAGTCTGGGACTCCACGTGGACAGGGGTGGCCACGCCCTCACCAGGACCCCCGCACACACGGTGCCCTCACTCACTTCTGTGCACACTCCTTGCTGCTGACACTGCCCAGTGGGTAGGAGGGCTCCTGGGGCCCAGCCGTCCCCACCGGGAACTTCTGCAGCCTGTTGTGCCCGGAGGCCACTGTCAGGACCTCGGAACTCCACCCTGTGTGCCCTTTGGGGCCCGGTCCGCTTGGTCCTCCTCAGTGCCAGGGCCACAAACCCTCGCCCGTCCCCAACGGCTGACCAGACCTCAAGACCACCAGCCTGTGGCACCAAGGCCTTAAGAGGAGCATCTGGGGGAGAGAAGAAAGCCCTGCTACCCTGAGGAGGCAGCCCCAGCTGGCCTGGGGCTCCTCCTCTGTACGGGAGAGGGCGGCATGGGGGCTCCCAAGCCCCCGATTCTCATTAGACTTTTCTAATCATGACAGCTTTGCATTTCCTTCTGCTCAAAGCAGCAACGCTTGTCAAACCTGAACAAGTGGAGCATTTCTTGACTGGGTTGCACAGAGCATGGTCCTCCTGGACCAAGCTGCACGGAGCACAGACCACGACGCTCCATGACTGGGCTGCACGGAGCACAACCCTCCTGGACCGGGCTGCACGGAGCACAGACCACGACG